GTAGCAAAAACCTCTCCAAAAAAAAACAAAACAAAAAAAAAACAGGATCTGATTTAGGTCACATGGGAGGGACCTAGAGAAAGGAAGGGCTATCGTAAACAGAGGACTGAAAGTGAGAAAATGTTCTGAATGCCTAAGAGGTCAGCTCCAGAAATGCAGCTTGGTGACCACCAAATTCTAGAGTCAATTCCTAATCATTGATCTATAAACCCTTCAGAAAGAAGCAGTGAGCACAAGAAGCTGGCTAGAGCCCAGGTGGAGCAAGTCACACCAAAATAATCTACTACCTTCCCATTAGAGTCCTCTAAGCCCTTAACCCAGGGGAATGCAAAAGCTTAACATCTGATTCTGATAAAGCACCCAAATGAGATGGCCTCGTTCATCTATGTCAGCCATAGCTTCTCAGCAGTTACGCCGTGGGCCTGCGTGCTAACAAACCTGGATTTCTGTGAACCCATGTGTTTGCAGAGGCTGTGAGGACTATTTGGAGACCTGTGAATTGCATAACTACCACTGCCCTAGTCATAAATTGTATTATTTATGTCTACCTCTTTCCTCCAGTGGGATGAGCCTCCTCTATGTCTGAAATCCCATCTTGCTCAGTGTGGGACAACCTGATAGCCTGTGTGGTCAAGAACCTAGACTGTGAATGAGATTAGCTCTGAGGAACCACAGCTGTTTCACTGTGGATAAGGAATGAGAGAGGGAGAATACCTGGCAGGCCAGAGAGGCAATACCAGGAGCAGGACTCAATCAATGTGCATAAATGTAACAATAATAATGGTTAATGTTTGCTGAGTGTATGCTATGTGCCAGGTACTGTTTTCAATATTTAATACAGTATTAACTCATTTAATACCCCTGCCCTTTGTTACAGAGAAGACCTGGAAATTCAGTGAGAAGTGCCTGCTAGTTGGTGACAGAGGACTAGAATCCAGGTTTGTACGAGGAGACATGGCAGAGCAGGAGAAGATGATGAGAACAGAAAACCAACATGTGTCCAGTGCTTGCTGACTGGCAGTCTCACTCAGTTCCTGGTGGGGGAAGTGTTGGGGGGAGTCTAAAGACAGCCCAGCACTCTGCTGTCTCACCAGCACCTTCCTCTGTTCCCACCTCCAAGACTGGGAGTCCTCCAGCTCCATCTAGGGCCAGCCCTC